GGGTCAAGCAAAGGTAACATTGTGCATCCCAGCAGATCTTTTGAAGATTCCAAAAATTTTTGAAAATCCATCATAGCAAGGCAGAAACTTATTATTTTTTTAAAATATTTTTTTAATTGTTTTTTTAGTGATAGAGGAAGGAGAGACAGAAACATTGATGTGAGAGAGATACATCAATTGGCTGCCTCTTGCACGCCCCCCACTGGGAATCAAGCCCACAACCCTGGCATGGGAATTGAACTGGGACCTCTCAGTCCATGGGATGACGCTCAATCCATTGAGCCACACCAGCTGGGCAAGGCAGACACTTGTTCATGGTGACCTATATATACCTTTGTGGCAGGGTCAAGAACTGAAGTTCAGCATTTGAACTCCAGCCGAAGACTGCTGTCCCATATTCTGTTGATAGTGAGAGAGTCTTATCTGATGAGCTAAAAGGCCCTTAAAATGATCCAATTCATCTTTGGTGAAGTAGTTCAGGACTCTCAGAAGTACTTCAGGCCAAGCTGAGCTGAGTTTCTTTTTCAGATTTCTAACCCCCAGTGACTGGCTAAATGGGAGCAAGGACGTAAAGTTTGTAATATATCCCCACACATATCATCGATGCCATATAAAAGCTAAACTCTCAGAATTAAGACGGGTTCTGCAATGCGCTATTATTTATAGACGTGCAAGACCGGAGGACAACTGATTAACACGGGCACTGAAATAAATTCATACTACTACTTTTAGCACATTCATAAAATAACAACATTTCAGCTGGCCGGTCTGCCAGGGAGTGGAAGTGCTCATTTTGGTAGACAGCTCTCCTCAGTAATGAAATGTTTTGATTTGAAATGTAAATGTTTCTTTCCAGAAGTTTCAGAAATCCAGCTTGGAAGATTAATTTATTCTTGCCCGCTCCCCTCGCGGCCTGGCGGTTGGAAGCCTCTGCACACAGGGCTGCCCTTTGCCGCTGCCAGTATGAGCTGTGTTGTTTGGTCAAGAATACTGGCCTGGTTGTTCCTTCCAGAGAAAACTGATCCCTCGTTGCTGAACATAAAAGAAGCTTTATCAAATGTTAACTACATGAACATGAAATAACCTTTTTTTTTTCCTCTTTGCAGAAATCAGTATATCCCCTTCACTACCTTAAATCCTGTGATACTAATAAGTGAAGATTAGTATTGCCACATGTGTGAAATTCAGAAATTGCCACAGCATTCCTGTAAAATGTTCATTGTTGCCAAACAAACAAACAAAAAAACCCCATAGTAGTTCTTCATTTGCAAGATAAGCTTATTTCTAAGATCAGCTATAAGGTCCTATGAATATACCTCTCTCTATTTATCTATATCTATTTATATATCTATCTATTTATATATCTATATTTCTCTCTATATATATGATGGTGACTCCAAATGTGATAATTAATTTAAATTAACTATGTTTCTAACATGGTCAAAAGAAAAAAAAAAAGGCAGACACATGTTGGGGCTGCTTTATGAATACAACTTGAGGGACTACTACTTTATGAACATGACCTGTATTCCAAAGATTCAATTTACCTTGCATCTTTTGTGAAACAAAAAAATTAATTCTAAGTAAGGTTTTGCTATCTGTATTGCCCAGTATGACATGCACAGAGGCACTCAGAGTGATATCTAATTAACTTGCCACTTTAGTGGATGGTCTCAAATGTTAATCTGGAACAGCTTCTGAAAGTGTAAGTCTGAGCACAGTAGAATTAAAACAGTAAACACTTGCCTGATTCAGTGCCACCAGCAATTAAATCACCAAGAATATCATAGTTTCATCTGAAAATTATAAATACTATTCATAGAGAGTGACAAACATTCCTGAACACTTTCCTGGGCTATATAAGCAGAACTTTTGAGAGGACCCCTTGCAGAATAGACACTATCACTAGAACCATACTACAAGAGCCACAGCTACATCAAAATCATAATGACCATTTGGTCTGTGGTGTCCCTGGACAGGATTTTATGGCTTCTTGTCATTGGTCGCGTCCTATTCAATCTAAGGAAACTTCTCAAACAGTTACCACCACTCAGCCATTAAGCTCACCTGGACAGAAAGTTTAGGAGGAGAGGGATGCAAGCATGTATTCATTTAACATGTTTACTAGTCTATGCTAGATGTAATAGAGGATGGATGAACAAAACAGACAGGTTCCAGCCTTCATAGAACATACAGTCTAGTAGATTTGGATAAAATAACCGGGATGGTCATATTTCTTGGCCATTTAGTCCTTTGGACTTGTGCGTTAGAACCAAGAGTTTGTGAGTTAGCCTAGGAGCTCTGCTACACTTTGAGAAACCTGTATTTTTCTTCTTTTTTCTATTGTCAGTATTTTATTATTAATATATATATTATTAATTAATTTTGTTACAGACCTTTCTCCTTTTTCCCCCACTGACACCCTCCTCCTGATCCCCCCGCCCCAGCATTGTTGTCTATGTCCATTGGTTGCGCATATATTCATATAAGTTCTTTGGTTTATCTTCCCCTTCCGTCCCCCTCTTCTGAGGTTTGTCAGTCTGTACCCTACTACTATGTCTCTGGGTCTATTTTGTTCATCAGCCTATTCTGTTCATTATATTCCACAAATAAATGAGATCATGTGATATTTGTCTTTTTCTGATTGGCTTGTTTTGCTTATAATAATACTCTTCAGGTCCCTCCATGTCATCTCAAAGAATAAGAGATCTTTCTTTCCTACAGCTGCATAGTACTCCATTGTGTATATGTACCACTGCTTTTTTATCCATTCGTCTACTGATGGACACTTGGGCTGTTTCCAGATCTTAGCGATTGTAAATAGTGCTGCTATGAACATGGGGGTACATATATTCTTTCTGATTGGTGTTTCAGGCTTCTTAGGGTATATTCCTAGAAGTGGGATCACTGGATCAAATGGCAGTTCCAGTTTTACTTTTTTGAGGAAATACCATATTGTTTTCCATAGTGGCTGTACCAGTCTGCATTCCCACCAGCAGTGTACTAGAGTTCCCTTTTCTCCACACCCTCGCCAGCACTTGTTTGATGATTTGTTGATGGCAGCCATTCTGGCAGGTGTGAGGTAATAATTCATAGTCATTTTAGTTCGCATCTCTCTGATGATTAGTGATGCTGAGCATCTCTTCATATGTCTCTTGGCCATTTGTATGTTCTGTTTGGAGAGGTGTCCATTTAGGTCCTCTGTCCGTTTTTTAACTGGATTCTTTGTCTTCCTTTCATTGAGTTGTATGAGTACTTGATATATTTTGGAAATTAGCCCCTTATCAAACGTATTGTTGGCAATTATGCTCTCCCATATAGTGGGTTCCCTTTCCATTCTGATGCTTGTTTCTTTTGCCACGCAGAAGCTTTTTATTTTGAAGTAGTCCCATATGTGCATTTTTTCCTTTGTTTCTCTTGCCTTAGGCATTCTATCAGTGAAAATTCTGCTGCATGTGACGTCTGAAATTTTGTTGCCTACATTTCCTTCCAGGATTTTTATGTATTCATAAGTCATATTTAAGTCTTTTATCCATTTTGAGTTTATTCTTGTGTATAATGTAAGTTGATAATCTAGCTTCATTTTTTTGCATGTAGCTGTCCAGAGATACCTCTTTTCTCATTCATTTATGTTTTTAGATGCAATAGAGTCCACTGATCCTTAGTTTAAATCAGGGAAATTGAAAGCCCATCAGCCATGTTTGGTTTGTACATTGGGAAATGAGGGAATTCAACACAAAGATCCAGATTGTGGATTTTTCTTGAAAACTAGAAGTTCTACCAACACTGGGATCTGAATTTCTACTTGGACATAATAAATTGTAGCTGAAAAGAGGCTTACCCAATGAAATAAGTCATGTGCTTTCCAGTTCACCAAAGTCCCCACCACTTTCTATTCCTTTAAATCACTTTGTTCGTTGCCCTTACCTCCCTGGCTCCTGTGGACATGAGTGAACCCATACAAATATTATCTTATATGAGCTGAGGTCTTCAACATTCTAAGCATTTGCTAACTGGGGAAGAAGCTAGTGTGAGGCCATTGCTTAACTAAAGTGGGGTGAGCAAGATGCTATTTGAGTGGATATTCCAGCTGTTAACTCTGTTCCCATTTCATGGATAGAGCCACGCATACCTTTGGGTGTACATGCCTTATCTTCATGTCCTCACAGTTCCCATTTTAAACAGGAGGCCTAAGTGAGCACTCGGAATGGTGAGTATGGTTGCTCCACAAACTGAGTACTCATGGCTCTGGCTCTCTATTTTATGGTTTTGGTCTGTTAGGATCTGATGCTATAGCACAAAGGTATCTGGTATCTGATTCTAAATGGAAGAAAGGTCCAGTGGGGGATAAACTCCTTCATGAGAACCTCGGGAGGGGGAACTCTACATATATTATGATTCTTCTACCAAATAAAGGATGGCAGTTCAGTATAAATTCTCTAGCAACATTTAAATAAATGAACACCCAAAGTGACACAGATATGTATATTATATATTTTATATGTTTATGTATAAAATATATACTCTCCCAAATATGTTAAAAACTGATTTTGTAGTAGTCTTAATTTAAAGGCCATGCCAATTTTTCACAAAATTGTAGGAATTTGAAATTCTTTATAATGGAAAACAATATAAGTGGCTATTTTGTAACAGTTTCATATAGTTTTACAGTGGACTCTTAAAAGAGCAGAAATGGAGAAAAGGGAAATTTTGCCATACCTCAATGTAAATGTGGTTGTTTTTGCCTTGAGATTTTATAAAGGCTCCTTTCAGTTACATCATAAAAGTTTCACACATGCCACAGTTTTATGGAAGGATATAAAGGTGAAGGAGCCTTGGCCCAACCCCCTTGGGGAAGGGGAGAGTGGCAGTCTGGAGGAGACCTGAGAGCCTTTGGAGGACCCCTGGACTTTCACCTCCCTCAACAGCCCCAGGTGAACCGTGTCTCTGCTGCGGCTTTCGGCTTTTGGAAGGGAGTGAGGACGCGCTGCATCTCTTACCTGGGGCAGCGTTCCTTTCACTAATGCGGGGATGTCGGCCTTGGAGTAACCAATGGCAGCGAGGCCATCATCAACGTCCAGATCAAGTAAGAGTTTCCGGAGTGCGTCTGCCAAAACAGGCCCAGCATCTGCAATCCGGGCAGTGCGGGTGTCGGCTCCTAGAAGACACAAAGCGCCGACTGTAGACAGGAGGAAGCTGGCTCTGGGTGTAATTCAGTCACACGATAGCTGATATATAACCTACTGCTGGCTCCCTGACACAGAGGACAAGGGCACCAATGTGCCTCCACATGGAGGCCAGCCCGGCCGGCAGCCCCACAGAAGACAGATGGGCCAGGCCAGTGCTGGGGCGGCTAACCCGGCTCTCACCTTCCTAACGCGCTGCTCCCGCCTTGTGGGGTGGGAAGACAAGGAACAGAGCCAAGAAAAGAGGCACAGGAAGGAGACCAAGAAAGAAGGCTGGTGTTTGGATGAGGAAGAAGGAGCATTTGTAGCAGAAAACACAGCTTATGTAACTTTCAAGGCCTGGAATTTGCTGACATCTAGAGGTACTACATGTTCAATGTCTTTTCTCACAGAAACATCTAAGGAAAAGACAAACTCTTTGCAAAAACACTGTGAGATAAGGATCTACATAAGTACAAAAACGCTAACATTAACTGCCAAAAGGAAAGAAGATGACAAAAATAGATTATGTGTGGCCAGGGAAGGAAGCATTTCCTTTCTATCGCTATTTTGGACTTTGTTACCAATGGCAAAGCAGGTTCCTCTAACTATTACAGAACTAGTCAGACAGAACCAAGAACATGAAGACTCTCAGAAAACTGTTTTTAATATTTAGATGATGATATTGATGAAAGGGGAAGAAGGCTGCCAAGGGCTGGAGATTTGAAAGAACAGAATTTGGACATAATAATACACAAAATTATAGAGACATCAGTCTGGAAGAGCCAGGGGGTTCTCCCTCAGGAAGGGTGGCAGTGAAAGTCCCCAGATGAAGGAAACTTATCCCCAAACCTTAGCACCCCTGACCCCATCTACACATTCACTGCCCAGAAGTGAAACACTTTACAAGTGGAATATAGCATTAGTTACTATCCCAAATGCCTCACGCTGTCATCCAAGTCCACTTCCTCTGTACTGTTCAAAAGGAGACTAGAATGTGCATTTCACCTCCATACTGAAGCACATTAAATCATTTTTAACCTCTCTCTTCTAGGACAGTGAGAACTGTTTTAGTAATCCAGGAAAAGGATAAATTGAACCAGATATGGGGCTGGTTGGTGGAGCAGCTGGATGGAAGGTAAACCTTGCCTGACAAGAGCAGTCTGTGTTACACAGCAGCAGCTAAAATACGGAGTAGGTGGAAAGGCGACACACGATCCGAGGTTTATGAGACTTTTGTTTTCTTGGGATTGCTGCCATAAAACACACCATCAAAACTTCTGGGTTTTCCTATGAAGTGTTTTAGAAATAGAGAGAGGGTAGGAAAGAGAATACATTGGTTTAAAGTTAAGAAAAATCTAAGGTTACTTAGGGAATAAAAATATTAATGGCTAAGTATAGAATGATATTAAACAAAATTTCCAAAGCAAGAAGAAAGAATTGGTGGGTTCTTCTGGCCTGTGTTTTGTCTAACAGAAGAATGGCTTTCTCAGTAATTTTGGTGGTGGTCTGGAATGTTAAATGTAAGTTCTCTAAGATTTTCCCATTTACCATTCATTTAGCCCATTTGGGCTCCTGCCTATTAACTGTTTGCTTATTTACAAAAGCATCTGAATCCCAACAAATGGCTGAACAACATCCGTAGTCCCAAAGGGAAAAGGGGCAAAAGATCTTTGGTCAAATCGCCACCACATTCCCGGCAGCACGTGCGGAGAAACCAACCCCCAGCACGACTTCCCTGCCCTGGACTTCTTTCAGGAACATTCCCAGCGCAGCACCGGGAGCGAGTGACAGAGTGAGAGTGAAGCGACCCCCGCGGAAAGACGTCTGTGGTCGTTCTACCTTCTTGGAAATAATCTCTCCAACGGCTGTGCTGGAGGAGCATGATGAAGTTTTCTTTTTAGCCTTTCCCTTCCTACCCTCAACACAAGTAGGGGAATAAGATGTTTGGAAAATTAATCAGATACTCAAGTGTACTTTAATGAGTTCTCATCTTAGAAAAATACCAAAATTTTTCTTAACTAAGATATCCTGTATATTATTTCACTTTTTGTAAGATTCAAATGGCACCATTGGAATCTTATTATGGCCATTATGTATTCTACAGAGCAGCACAAAAATTATTCTTTGGGGATCTTTTAATACAGTTTCTAGTTGTTTAGACTCTATAATTGGGAATTAGATTCATTTTATTACCTATTAAACATACCAAAGCCATTTATAACATTTGTAGTATATAAAGAGTTTTATTTTCCCTGGGGATGAAAACTGGAAATACGATTACTCTAAACTTGACAAAAGTAATATTTGGGTCCATTTCATTGTTAACAGACTATTAGAAATATAAAATTATAGAATTTTAGTGCCAGGCAGGACTTTGAGTAGGTCAGTGACTAGTTAATATTAAACTATCTCAAACCAACATTTTTTTTAGTATTATCTTTTATGGTTTATCTTCAGAAGTAAACTAGGAAGTGCTCCACCTATGTGGATCACAGAATTATGAGTAATGATTCATACCCAATATTTCTGCTGTCTCCAGGTGCCTCTCAGGAAACATCTGTGCCGTGAACGTGAACACTGCTGGGGAGGTGAGCACCACAGAAAGCCCATGAGGCTGTAGAGAAACAAAACAGGGTGACTGACATGGCAATGCTGGCTGTCAGCCTGCATGTTCTAGATATTAAATTAGCCTGTGTTCCAAGCAATCAAGAATCAGCAAATACATTTATAGCAATTTCAAGGAATATAAAATTTAATTAAATAATTTATTATGATTTTACCACCAATGGATGATCCACATTATAATCCTTTGCTTTATATGTCTTCACTAAGCCTGAAATTGGGTAAGACATTCCGTGGCTAGAAAAGAAAGAAAGTCTTTATGTTGACATATAAATACCAGAAATTCAAGTAATTCAAAGATACTCTTACGGGAGAGCCCTTCACAGTCTCTTGACGATACCTATATCTCATAAAGTTATACATTCTGTTTTCTGTGCTATAAGGATATACTGTTATGCACTCAATATTTGGTGTTATTCATAACAAAACCTATGAAATGTTCAAATTCAAATGCTTATAAAATTGTATGCCATTAAAACGTATTGATGCAGAAGATTCTTCCCAAATACATTGGCTAACTTTATAATCTTGAAGAAATTTAGAAGTCACTTTGAAGTTTCTTTAATAAATTGGAAAGCATGTATTTTCTATCTTGCTCTGCAATATTTTGTTCCTGTACAAGCTGACCATGTTGGTGGAGTTTTATGAACCAAGTTCACCTGCATTAGACATGCTAGTGATCTGTCCCACCAATAATTGATATATCATTTTGAATGTTACATGCTAATAGAGTTGAATCATAAATAATTATTCTAGCCTGAAAGACTTTAAAAAATGGCACCATAGTTTTTATTTGTGGGAGTTTTAGGGGGATGGTTGTTTTAATGGAAAAACTCTTTATATCCTCTTGAATTTTTAATGAACAGATAGGATAATATTATAGTTTAATAGGTAACTCAAAAGATATACATTGTGAGAAGTTAGTACAGGTACAATTAATACATTAAAAAAATATATATATATATATATTTTTTATCCTCACCCTAGGACATTTTTCCATTTTTTGTATAGATAGAGTGGGAGGGAGAGAGAGGAAGAGAGAGAGAGGGAAACATCGATGTGAAAGGGACACATCGAGTGGCTGCCACCCGCACGACCAACCAGGGCCGGGGACAAACTGCAACCGAAGTACGTGCCCTTAGCGGGAACCGAACCCGGGTCTCTCCGGACCGCAGGTGGACGCTCGAACCGCCAAGCCAAACTGGCCAGGGCACATTAAAAATATTTTATAATAGCAAAATGGTCTGTAAATCTATTAATATGGGTTATTTGATGACTCTGCGCTTATTCACCAAAAGATTTACATTTCATAGAAAGATAAAATATTTTGGTAAACTGTATGATTATCTATCAAAAAAAAAAAAAAAGGTGCCCTTGCCTACCATCTTTTATGAGGCAGATTGGAAGCTATGGGTCCTCTGAGTTGTGGTGCATTTTGGAATGTATTTTACCTTTCTTGGGCTCCAGAGTATTCAGAAAATTATTATTACTGATTTTTTGAGAGAAAGGAAGGGGGGAGGGGGAGAGAGAGAGAGAGAGAGAGAGAGAGATAGAGAGAGAGAGAGAAAGAGAAAGACATCTGCTTGTTGTTCCACTTCTTTATGCATTCATTGGTTGATTCTTATACGTGCTCTGACCGGGGATTGAACCTGTAACCTTGGCATACTGGGACAATGCTCTAACCAACTTAGCTAACTGGCAAGGCAGAGTATTCAGAAATTTATTGCTTAATGTGCTTTCATGATGTGGAAGGGTTCATCTAGCTTTCAAAGTTACTTTTCTAATGATAGCCAATATTTCAGTTTAATTCCTTTAATTTTAACAGTCACATATGTTCTTTGTAAAAAATTTAAATAATCTATAATTCTTCTTCAAGATAACCATTACAGAATACTTCCTTCTAGTCTTCTTATGTATATCTTTAATATATGATCATATACTGCATTTAGTTTAGACAATGCTTTTGTTACTTAATATTCTTGTAAACAATTTCTCATATCATTTTGTATTCTTCTAAAACATTATTTTTAAAGGCCTTATTTTATTCTTTGAGTATTGCACTTGGTTAACCATTCCCACACTTTTGGAAATTTAGGTTGTTTCAAAATTTTTCAATTATAAATAACACTTAGGTGATTTTCCTTATAAGAAAATTCTTTGATCATATGATTATTTTATTAGGCTACATTTCTAGAGGTAAAATTAGTGGAACAAAGGATAAACACAGTTTTCAAACTTCGGGGAGACTTTGCTTACTTGCTTTTTAGAAAGGTGGTGACAAACCTGTGCCCCTCTCAGCGGCAGAGTTTGGCGGGGGGCGGGGGGGGGGGCATTTATTTTATTGTTTTCTCCCTAGCAAAGGCCTATTCTTAATTCTCAATGTTCATTGGTATTTATTTTCAAGGCAATATACCAATAAAGTTCTGATCAAACAGATTAATTCTGGGCTAATGGCAAAGATTATGATCTCTCTTTTTGTGAGAGATTAGAAGAAAAAAAAATTTGAGGTTTTAAAAATCCATAGCACATGGTGAGGAAGTGGGGAAATCAGAACCCTCGTGCATGGCTGGTGGGAATGTAAAATGATACAGATGCTGTGAAAAACAGTCTGGAAGTTCCTCAAAATTTAAACATAGAATTACCAGCAATTCCACTCCCAGGTACATAATCAATAAAAATGAAAACCAATGTCTGCACAAAAATTTGTACATGAATGTTCATGACAGCATTATTCACAACAGCCAAAAAGCAGAAACAACTCAAATGTCCATCAACTGATGAATGAATAAATAAAATGTGTAATATCCATACAATGGAATGCTATCTGGCAATAAAAAAAAAGAATGAAATACTGATACGTGCATGAATGAACCATGGAAACATTATGTTAAGTTAAAGAAGCTGGACACTAAAGACTGGATATTATATGATCCCATTTGTAGAAAATGCCCAGACTAGGCAAGTTTATAGGTAGAAAGCAGATTAACATTTGCTTAAGACTGGAGTGTATAGGAAGATTGGCAGATGACCGCTAAGAGGTACAGGATTTATTTTTTGGGTGATAAAATGTTCTAAAATTGTTGTGGTAATGGCAACTGTGAATATACTAAAAACCACTGAATTGTACATTTTTTAAAAATATGTTTTTATTGCCCTGGTGGTTTAGAGCGTTGGCCTGCGGTCCAGAGAGACCCGGGTTCGGTTTCCGCTAAGGGCGTGTACCTCGGTTGCAGTTTGTCCCTGTCCTGGTTGGGTCGTAGCCACTCCATGTGTCCCTTTCACATCGATGTTTCTCTCTCTCTCTTTCCCTCCCACTCTATCTGAACAAAATATCTAAAAAAAATATATATATATATGTTTTTATTGATTTTCTTAGAGAGAGAGGAAGGGAGAGAGATAGAAACATCGATGTGAGAGAAAAATATCCATGGGCTGCCTCCTGCCTGCCCCCTACTGGGGATGGAGCCCACAACCCAGGCATGTGCCCTGTCCAGGAATCGAACCAGGACCTCTCAGTCCATGGGATAATGCTCAATCCACTGAGCCACATTGGCCAGGCTGAATTGTACATTTTAAATGGGTGAATTATGTAGTATATGAATTATAACTCAATAAAATTGTTACCAAAAAATCTATGACTCAATAAATTACATTTGAATTAAGAAAATATTCCAGAACCCTAAGTTAAATATCTTCTTTCTATAACATATTTAAATCTTACCACCTGTCCTAAGTTATAAACATTTGAAAAATTTTAAAGCAATAGCGTAGGTGAAGAAATAAGATCTCCAATTCGCTCACCACAGATGAACACCAGCATTTCCAAAGCCAATGCCAGCAAAAGCGCTTGCCAAGTGCATATTGGACCTTGCTTCGAGATCATCAGGATTTCTGACAGCCCTGTGGGTGATATAAATACCTAACAATAACACATCAGCACTGGTATTTCCTACTGAATAAAGAGCTGCCTTAGGAAAAGATCTGGAGAAAAAGAAATGGTACTTGGTAGGAAGAAAAATTACACAAGTTATTCAAACGACATCTTGTCTTCTAAAGGAAAACTGAGGGTAAACATATTTTCTCATCAATGGTTTCAGTAAAGGCATAATAAATACGCTGTCAGGCTGCTCGTGTGATAAAAGTGCCAGGGGAAGCAGAGCACTGACCCTTGGATTGTGAGAGCTGCTCTAGCAAGTGCCCCGAGACTCATTCTTCTTCTTCATTTGTCAATGACCTTGACTGCAGCTGTGAATGGACTTAGAGTAAACATACACTTAGAATGCACAGGGGCCAGACAGGTTCACTGTTGTGAGTCCTTGTCGCCTGGGGCTACCTGCAGGCTACATGCAGCCCGCCCAGCCATCTTTCTTTCTGTGACATTGCCCCAGTCAGACCCACTGGAGGCCTCTTTTGTTATCTGTGGAAACTGCACGTTATTTTAATATTTATTATTGTGGAAGTGGGATGTTATTGTAGGACAAGCTTTTGCTTGCTCTGTTTGTCCCCAGTGCCACTTCGGAAAAGCAAATTCTCAAAGGCCCCTTTCACATGCAGCTCAGCCTTTCTGCACACACTTCGTGGAAACCCTGCCCTGGGGAGGAAGTCTGAGACTGCCAAGCGAACCACTTCTCACTTGCTTGTTTGCAGTTTCGCCTGGAGTTAAGGGTTCCTGTTATAAAATAAGAGTGCTTTGGCCTTTTTTCCCCTTTCATTTAAAATTGTTGGGTATCTGAGTCTCCAGTGTTCATTCTGTTCCCGGAACAAGATGAAATAGTCGATGATGGAGCTTCAGCCTTTCCTCTGTCCATTTGACCCCCTTACCTCCACTACTGCTCTGTGAAGCCCTCTGCTCTGTCAAAACACACCACTGACAGTTATCTGTATCCTTGTCTACCCAGCCAAATGCTTCTGTGCTCCCCGAGGGTCCCTGCAAGCGCGAAATAGCTCTGTGTCCCTTCCTCCGGCTCTACTACAAATGCACTCTAGTCCTCTCTCCAGGGCAGCTTCCAGCTCAGGGCCAGAAGAGGCACCGTGCTCACATCCAGGCCTAACCTGCCGTGTTCTTTCCCTCCCTTATGTGTAAGTACAAAAGTGAGTCCGACTTTGCAGATGTCTTCATGTCTCAGGGATCAGTTTCCATCTCCAAGTATATATTTGCTCTCCCAGGAGCCTACTATGGCTATGTCAATCATAAATCTTTCATAACCGTTTAGGAAGCCTTTTATATCTCCTGGGACAAACAACTTTGATTCTTATATTTAGCCCATCTGAGTGTGCTCACTGGGTTGATTCTGTGTGCCTTTGCCCAGGGCCTGGATGGGCACAGCCAACATCTGCCTCTGTGATACTCTTGTCTGCTGTTGGTAGCCAGATCTCACAGGACATCTCTTCTCATCCTAGTGTTGGTTTTGAGGCTCAGTGAATAAACTTTGTATCTGCATCCTTCATAAGTTAGGGACTCTTATTTTGTCACCTGCAGTCTTCGCCTTTTCTGACTAAAGGGCCCAGTTTTCATGTCTTCACATGCTTCAACCCCCACCCCCAGTCCCTTTCATCCTCCCAGAAGCTTGCTGGTGCTTCTCTACGTCTACTGACTGACATTTTGAAGAACAGACTTAGGGACATATCAGGATTTACATTTTATGTGAGGGTGGAATGTGTTTTTTCTATTCTCTTTCTATCCCCTGTGGGTGGCATACCTCTTTAGGTACTTAGCGACGATCCGAAGCGCGTGGACTGCCCAAATGTCACTGATTGGGTTGCTGCCCTGGTAGGCTGGCCGAGAGATGGGATTTGAAGGGCAGGGGCTCCGCATGTGGTAGGGAAGGGCAGTGTAAGACTCCAGGGCATGGCTAACAAGAAATATTTAAAATACACAGACTGAAAGCGTGGTCTTCTTCCTCCCCTCCATTAAGATTACAAACTGTCTTGGAAACGTACTCACTCCACTGTGGATATGCTATGTGGCACTGATACCCACACTACATTCCACTAGTCAGCCTCTTGCCCACAACAATTATTGCTTATTACAGAAATTAACACAGTGAAGCTTATATTAACAGCACTATAGTGTTTTTGACCAGTGTGTATGAGATTACATATGGCCCTTTTCTAGTGCAAATAAATCTTTAAATGTTAAATATGTAAGTCATAAAAAAAGCACTGAATCTAAAATATTCCTTCTAAAGTATAATTATCATTTTATACTTTGCATTGATCAACTACCATACTACCCAAGTAGGATCATAATTAACTAGCCTCCTATTAAGAGTACAGTGCAGGGGGTGAGAACACTGACCCTGGGGTCAGTTGTCCAGGGGTAAATTCTAGCATCCGAACTTCCCACTTCAGGCCTTGGGTGAGGGTTAGGGGAGGAAGTCACCTAACCCTGTGATTCTAAGATGGAGATAAATAACATGACATCTTCATGGTGCTGTTGTGAAAACGGAGTTGACATTTGTAAGGTACTTAGCACATTGTAAAACTTATCATTCATCATTATTTATTCTTGTCCTGAAAAAAAAGATCCAATTCTTTTTTCTCAAATGCTCCAAATTCAGGGTTGGCTATTTTAAGCTTCAGAGTGTCTGCCACCTGCTGGCCTGCCACCAATTCTAATTAATCAACTGGTGATGATAAGAATAAACATAAAAACATAACCATCCAGATCAATGATACATTGGGAACACAATATAACATGAACTATATTTTGCATGAATTATAGTTTTCAGTCATAGAATGGAGAATTTCCCCTCTTCTACATTTGAGAAGCAGGTAACATCTTTTGAACAAAACATTAGAACTTTAAAAAAATTAGTTGGTAGACAGGTGCTATAGCTTGGTGGTTCTAAACAGGGACTGTGTGTGCAATGTAAGAATAAGGTGCCCATGAGAGGAGACGGGGTGGCGAGGAGTTCACTGAGGTGCTCCCAATGCATCTTCATTCTGGATCCAAGAGCAGCTCTGTCTCTCAGGGGCAGACTCACCTAGGTGAGGTCACAGAAGCTACGTGTAAAACCTGGAAGCCCCATTATTAATTTACAATGAGAAATGTAACTGCTGAGGGGGACAGACACTGAGTCTTCTAGAGGGCACCTTTTCTCCCTATTGGTAAGTCCCATGGATGCTAATTTATGATTGGAAGGCCCATCAAGTCCTAACAATGGGAATTGTCTTTAAGGTTGAATTCATAAGTGTATCCACTTTCAGAACTGGCCAATGGGCCCCAGGGGCCGATTCCTCAGGCCAGGTGTTCTTTCCCTTGGAAAATCCTTGGAAGGGCAACTACCATCATTCCTTCTTCTTCTTTCTCCCCCTTTGACAGTGAAATCTTTGGGCCTATAAGTCGTTCACTTAAAGGTGACTGCTTTGGTCCATTATATATTTATTATGTAGCTTCTAGTTAGGGAGGGGAATCTTATTTCCCCATTGTTAGGGGACAACTCTTCAAAGTCATGACAACTTTGACCAGGATGGAATTGAACGCATTTTTCTCCAGTGTTTTGGCAGGCAGAGTAATGCAGTGAGAAAGGCAGGCCATAGACTTGGAAAGACCTGGATTTGAATCCTAACTCTGCTGCCTCCTGTTTATGTGAACTTCATTCAACAGCTATTAATTGAGTACCTATGATGTGACAGTTGGTGTGCCAAGTGAGTAAGATGGCCCTATCCTCACCAAGCTCATAGTGCATTGAGGGAGACAGGCATGTGGAGAGAGGGGTGTCTCAGAAGCAATGTACAGGCCCCCATGAAGAATAAGGGACAGAGTGGTCAGATATACTTGAGGGGAGGGTCAGCAAGGCTCCAACAGGAAGAGAACATTCAGTGGAATTGAAAGATGAGTTATTCAAGCAGATAAAGAGCAAGAGCAGAGCACTGGGGACATTCCAGGGCCAAAGGAATTTGACCTTCGGGCAGTAGGTGCGGGAAGCCACTGAAAGACTTGTACAGTGGAGGTGTGTGTATGTGTGTATTGACAGTCATCTTGTATTCTGCAAGCTTGGCAAAGCCACTGTGGAGAACAGACGGAAGGACTACGGTATGGAAGCAGGCGGACTGATGAGGAGACTACTGCAACTGTACAGGCAAGAGCTGGGGTAGGTCTAAACCAAGGCAGGAGCAATGAGGCCTAAGAGGAGGGAGTAGATCTGAGAGAGATTCAGCACCGTAAGGGAGAGAATCTGCTGGCTGGTGTGGGCATGAGAGGAAGGACACGTCCATACTGAGTCCTGCTGCTCACTAAGTTAAGGGAATCAGGAGGAGAAGCCATGGGGCATGTTGGCAGGAGGAAGGGAAGGTTAGTGAAAATTAAGAGAATCATCAGCTTTTCGTTGAAAAAAACTGTACCACCGCGGAAGAAAACCATACTGCCATGCCACAGATTTTAAGATATGTTCTGATTTGAGATGTTAGAACGTCAAAAAACGTGCATGTGAAAAAGGATGAAATAGGGTAGTTTGGGACATGCTGAATTTTTGAAGTGCCCGTGGGACCTCCATGAAGCCGCTGAACGAATGGCCTGGAACTCAGAAGTGAGGTCTGTGGTAGAAGCCACAGATTAGGGAGCCATTGCACACGGAGCTGAGGCCCAGGGAGTTCATGGTATGACTCTGGGCAAGTCACTAAACATCTCAAAGTGAGTTTTCTTTTACACCTGACACAGATCTGTGGTGGTGATGTGTATACAGTGCGGACACTGTGTGTACAAGCCAGCGCAGAGGATGCCAGCTCCCTTCCCTGCCCTCTTCCATGTTGTGCGGCCCGTGGCACTCCTTGCTTAGTGTAGCCACAGAGGCATGCCAGCCCTGACTGCTCCTTTTGTCATGTCCCTGTGGCCGCCACTGTGGCTGGAGTGGTATATCCTGAACAGCAGGTTTGTGGCTCACCCAGGGTGTCACCTACTCACTAACATACTCACTAATAGCATCCTTATTTTCATTTAGGAACAGAGATAATGACAGTCCAAGCTGGGGTTGCTGCAGAGTGCTAATCAATGAATGCTTAGTAAGTGCTTTGCATAAGAAAATACGGTGCTGCCCTGGCCGGTTTTGCTCAGTGGTTACAGCATTGGCCTGTGGTCTAGAGAGACCCAGGTTGGGTTCCCACTACAGGCACGTACCTCGGTTGTGGTTTGTCCCCGGCCCTGGTTGGGTCGTGTGGGTGGCAGCCACTTGATGTGCACCTTTCACGTCGATGTTTTTCTCTCTCTCTCTCTCCCACTCTATCTGAACAAAAAAATGAAAAAATGTCCTCGGGTGAGGATAAAAAAAAAAAAAAGAAAAGAAAATACGGTGCTCTTTCTAGCCGGTGCCAAGCCATGGGAATCCCTTGGGACAACTGCCACATCCTGCTGCCAACACTAAGATTGGCCCTCGCCACACACACCCAGGCCACATGTGGGGTACAGTACTGTGCCTCGAGTCTGGACGTGGCCAACTTCTCCTGGGGCTCAGAGTGTTGTATGTGCTCAACAAGGATTACTGATGTTGTCGACAATGCATCCAACAACAAACTGGTCCGCACCAAGACCCTAGTAAAGAACTACATTGTGCTCATTGACAGCACATTGTACTGACAGCAGTAAGAGTCCCACTAGGTTCTACCTCCCCTGGCCCACAAGAAGGGGGCCAAGCTGACTCTTGAGGAGGAAGAGATTTAAACAAAAAGAGATCAAGGAAAATTTAGAAGAAATATGGCGAAAGGAAAAAGAATGCCACAATCAGCAGTCTTCTAGGCGAGCAGCTGCAGCAGGCAAGCTTCTTGCATGCATCACTCCAAGACCAGGCCAGTGTGGCCGTGCAGATAGCTGAGTGCTGGAGGACAAGAAGCTAAAGTTCTGTCTGAGGAAAATCAAGGCCTGGAAGGCAAATACATCCTCCTCCTTATCTTACCTCATGTAATACAGGTGTTTATTGCTCAAAACAAACAAACAAACAAACAAACAAACAAACAAACATATATATATATATATCTGTCCGTAGACCCAGGTAGTGAAAATGCCTATCCAGGTACCTACCAAAGCACATCGAAGCCACTGTTGGCGACCACCCGGTCAGGCATATGTCGGGTGTGCAGAGGGTCAATCAGTCCCAGTGTGGGTTTGATGGCTCGGGAACCAATGCCTAGGACAGGGATTTTCAATAGAGGCCATTGGTATGCACTTTATTTAAAAACATTAAATAACTTTAGGATAACAAAGCATCCTAATATAGAAACAATATGAGTTAAAAGTCATTCTCATATAGGGAGGCAGCAAGGAGCAGTGGAAAGAGATTGAAGTCAGAAACCTGGGTTTTGCAGTGGAGAGGAAGCTCCTTTCAGTTAGAAGAAGCCAAGTATGTGCATCTCTTCCCAACCACAGCTTATTTACTTATTAAATGCCAGAGAGCTGTTTTGGGTCTTTTTTTAAAATAGTTCATTAATTTTTAGAGAGAGAGGAAGGGAGAGGGAAAGAGAGAAACATCGATGTAATAACACACCACTGATTGGCTGCCTCCTGCATGCCCACCAGGGAACAAACCCACAATGCCATGACCGGGAATTGAACCGGCAACCTCCAGGTTCACGGGAGGATGCCCAACCAACTGAGCCATACCAGCCAGGGCCTGGTTTGGGTCTTTGCTTTGCAACTTACCATGTGTCTTTGGGCAACTGCCTTAGGCTTCCTGGGTTCTCTATGAGATTAGACCATACAATTACAGGGTCCCCATCCCTCACAGAGCTATTATAAGGATCTCATTAGATAACATAATGGAAAAGTCTTTTAAAAATTGTAAGGTAGAATTTAAGTGTTGGTAACTACTATTTCTTAATGTCAAAGGATAATGTAATTTTAAAAAGAACTGTTACTATAAATGTGTCATTGAATGTCAATTTATGATTAAACTGATAAGAACAGATACTACACTTGATCTTAGCCAAAAGGCCGAGAAGTGATGATTGAATGTCAATTTATTCTTCTCTAAAGGCCTTAAAGAAGGATATTGAGCAAGACTCAAGGAGAGGGACATTTCTATCCCCTCAGCTAGAGTCAGAGAAGAAGACGGTAAAAACGACAAAGAAGATGGAAAGCAGAACAGTGGTTACTTGAGAGGGGCTGGAGGGGCTGTTCTGGAGTGATGGGGGGGTTTGGGGGTGGTAGTTACATGTGCGCCTATATTTGTCAAAATCTATTCGAATCAGGCTCTTAAAATGTATGCATTTTATTATATAAAAATTATACCTCAATGAAATTGATTTAAAATGTAAAAAAGTTGTCTAAGAAAGGGAATAACCCTTTATAATTGACATACAGTCAGTAACTTCAGTAGAAAAATAGCCAATCAAGATTCATAGCATTTCAATATACTTTTGTAGGTAATTCTAAAAAAAAAAGTTAGATTCATATTTTCATATGTACTTGGAAAAAGAAAGAAAATGTGTATATGTATATATCCTTCCCTTAACTCCATAACTCCTTGATTGTTAAATAGTAAGATTAAATAAAAGGGACTAGGTTTGAAAGGTAAAAGAGAGAATTTTAAAAAGTTAAAGGCAAAGTTCTTACCAATTTTTACTTTCAAAGGCTCATAGTCAAAAATGGCAACTCCAGTAGTTTCACTCCCAGTTCCTGAAGTAGTTGGGACTTGAACAAAATAATGTTAATGTTAATAAAGCATCTAAAGAAAGGTCACTGGAGATACTTAATTCAGTCTTTGGAAATAAGGAGCACATTTAGAGAAGGAAGCTTTGCTGCCCTCGTTGCCTGTCCGATGTGTATATCTCTAGTAACATGCATATATGTTTCACTCTATGTGTGTATCTGCATTAACATGCATGTACAACAGTATGATGCCTGTGTCAGCATTAACATGTATGTATACTGTCTAGGTCTGTATTAATACGCATGCATGTATGACATGTGTGTGCATTTGAAGTACATGTGTGATACCTGTGTATGTGTTAACATGTATGGGTGTTGTCCATGTCTGTATGAACACACATGCAGGTTTAATGTGTATGTGTGATGTCTGTTTCTATAGTAACAGTGGGGAGCTCTGGGAACCTTGGGCTCCTCTAGCGCCAGAGCTTAAGCAGCTTGCAGCCGGATATTCAAATGCAGGCTGCTGGGCATCTCCAGGAAGAAAACTTGTATTTGCCTCTCTGAAAGATGTCTTTATTCCCTCTTGGCAGCGAGCACAGTAACGCTCTGCCTTTGCTGGGCTCGCGGTTTTGTAATTCTGTCAAGTTTTTAAATTTTACTAATCACCTCTCTGTGTGATGCTGACACAGTGTCACCAGAGGGTTCCATATTCCAGACATCAATTATGCTGCTCCCTGCTGATGGCTCATTCACATCAAAGCAGCTCATCTGCCACCACTCACTCCTATGCCATCACAAGGCCTTCACAGTGGGGGCAGAAGAGGGGAGCAGAGAGAGGACAAGACTTTAAACTGATATTTTTCAGTGACCAGTAAGCGCATTTTAGCTATAAAACTTTAAACAGTTATATGCTAACGGCTATAGAATAACAGGGAAGAAAAGACAGAAAGATGCCAAGGTCAGTGTGAAACAGACAAGCTATTCTGATTGGGATTTGCGGGGCTGTGCCCTGTGCAGCCACAGAGTAGATGTCTCCCAGAGCATGGGCTGTGCTAGCCACATGTCCCAGGGCAGAGACAAAGCCTCAGGTCAGCTGAAGAGCCATTATGTGGAAGAAAGGGTTGAGTCAACACCAGAAAAATAATAGCGAATGTTCCCCTAAACTCCAGTGACTGGCAAAATGGGATAAAACAGAGAGGGGTTTAGAAGACAAACCTACTGTAGAGGAATCTAATAATACATAAATGATGACCTTTCCCCCTCCTTCAGATGACTTCATAGCTTAAATCTGAAAACTTTCCTACCATTGACCCAAATTGTCTCTATTGGTACCACATGAAAATCAGAATTTTGGACATAAACAAATTACTGTTTTGATCTCTAAACAAGGTATTACACTGAAATGAAGAAATCAGAAAGCTTCAGAAACACATACCTTAAAATCCCTGGCTTAAGGCCTTTTGCCAATTGCAAAACAAAGTAACGAACAAACAAACGAACAAACAAACGAACAAACAAACAAACAAACAAACAGTCTTTACCTGCTATCAGAGGCTTCAGAGGCACAGACACAGGCTTTCCCTTCCCAATGGGGACACTGACATAATCTAGGAAATCAGAGTGAGGGCTAGATGCATACAGATTAGCGGCTTTGCAAGTGTCTATGGTGGAGCCACCACCCACAGCCACGTAGGCATCAAAAGCTCCCTTTTTGGCAAACTCAATAGCTTCCATGAAGCTGTGAGAAAAGAAAATAGAAAACCATTATGTCATATTTTCTAGAAATATACTGACATGCCACTAAATAAGTCTTGGGGCAAGGTTTAAGTAACAGTGATATGTGGTGGCTTCCACTTAAGGTAAATAACAACAATAAAAAAATACCTTCTATCAGTTGGTTCCACCCTCACATTATCATAAACCTTAAAGTTTATGCCATTCTTCACTAGGGAATCCAAAGCCATTTGTACAGGAGGGAGCTGAGAGAGGTTCCTATCTGTCATCAAACAAACATTTTTAGCACCCATGTTTTGTAGGTCCTACAAAAACAAAAATAATTTATGTTAGGTTTGACTGCACTATAAATGTTAATAGCCACTGCTGGCTATCTTAACAGTAAACATTTTTAAAAACAAAGAACTCATTTGTCTATTTGCACTTGTTTTAAAAGATAGGTAACCTCTATAGCTGACCCTAGAAATCTTAAATACTTGCCATTCCTACTTCCTTTGTAACTCCTGCTCCATATCTAATATTTGAAACAGCCATCTGGAAAAAAAAAAAAAAAGAGATTTTGGTGATGGGTGTACTAGAGCTTGGCCATTCTATTTATAAAAGCCTGAAATGGTTCCTGATTGCCTAAAGAATAAAGTATACATTCTGTAGCATGGCCTTCCAGGTCACCCCATCTGGCCTCAGACTCATCATAATTCTTTAAGCAAACCTTGGCTGTAGTCACATTAGAATTACTTTATCTTTTCCCAAACATATTATAAACTCTCAGTTGTTCCCTCAGCTTGAAAGGCCTGCCTTTCCTTGTCTCCACAACTAAGTTACCTCTCAAAGTTCTTATTTTCCAGTTTAAAGGTTGTTGACTCCTCATTTATTTTTCATCCCTTCCTTCATTCATCCAACCATTTATCTACCAACTGCCCTTGCATGCATGTATCCATCCATCCATCCATCCATCCATCCATCCATCCATCCTTCCACCCACGCAATGCTACTGAGTGCCTGCTATGTTCCAGGCACTGTACTAGGCTCTGGTTATACAACTCTAACAAGAGAAACAGCTGTACAAAGTTTACGGCTGAGAGAAGAGCTTTTACACTGACTGGATGATGGGTCACTATTGGCCCAAAGACATGTTTTGTTTGGTCCACATTACGTTTAGATTTCTTCTGTTTTGAATTGACTCATAACTCTTAAAATTCAGGATAAAAATATCCAGTGACTGTCTGATCTCTCCTGAATAACAGCAACACGAGGCCTGCATTCCTGTGTGGCAGTAATCACATGGGGCTGAGTGGAGGCTGCACCCTCCAGATGGGCCTGTGCTTTCAATGAACACAGCACTGGCCTCACCCCGCCTGCTCATGGACTAGTTAAGTGTCAGGCCTTTGGAGACATTCAATTTATGAGTCCTGAGCTGGAAGGAGACAAGGATTTAAACTAATAATTCTGTAATTACAGTGTGATATAAAAATTCATCAGAATTAACTGTTCCTTTATTTTTGTATCAAAAGATTACTTGGATCTCTTTAGGGATTGTTATGCTTACAAAACTAAAGAAGATTTAACCTACAATATATATAAACTGGCAAGTTGGTAGAATTGGGAATTTGTCCTACTTTAATGGCTGTACAGAAGACAGTAGTCTAGACATCACTCATGTTATTGGAAGATTTATATTCCATTATCCTAACAAGGTATTTCGCTAAACAGGGCCTGATTAAATAATGAGATTAGGGGACATCAATTAATAGCAGATTTCAAATTAGATAATAATGTATTAGCAACATATTCTAGTTGTATGTTTTTAGGTCATCCATAAAAGAAAGAATGGACTGATTAAGTTTACCTCAAAGGCATAATCTGTTGTTTTTCCAGAGAGTGAAAGCCCAGGAGCTAGAAATGTAAAACTTAGTATCAGAGTAGGCCTCAAAAACAAAGCAAAATATTATTTGATAGTAAACTGAAACTCTAGCAGTGAACATAAGCATCTCACCTGAAACCTTACCTAAAATATATTTTTCAAGTTTCATATCAAATTAAAACTAAAACCTGCATTTTAAGACTGTACCGTGAACTTGATACTGAATGTGTTAAAATAAAGTGCCTTAAAATAGTTTCTCCATTGAAATTAAAATATACTTTTGAAAATATAATGTGTAAATCTTATGGAAAAAAATCTTCTAGACTCTAGAGTTGGGCTATTGTGAAGAGAACAGCCATTAGTAAATGCATTCATTAGAGTCTTGCTTACATTTCTTATAGTAACTGTGACCATTTGTTTCAATTAATATTTTTTCCATGGAGGTTACTTATTGCAGTAAGATATTCCTATTTCTCAAGCTTATAAATATAAAAATTTTAGTTTTCTTTGTGAAATTCAATAAAAAAATTTATAAATGAATACTTCTTTGCAACAGCTGTAGTTAGGGAAAAATGATTTTCTGTCATATTGGAACAAGAGGGCCCCACTATATGAATTTTATCCTTATTTTTTAATCAGTCCTGGTTAGTCATAAATTGAAAAAAAAGAAAAGACACCACAACTAGACAACAATCTACCTTCAGTTTCCTGAGGGCAAGAGTATCCTTAATCAAAATCCAAAGTTCTTTGATCTCTATAGGCCTTAAAAAATAATCTATTAGGCCTGGCCAGTTTGGCTCAGCGGTTGAGCGTCGGCCTGTGGACCAGAGTCCCGGGTTGGGTTCCTGCGAGGGGCAAGTACCACCAAAATAAATAAATAAATAAAATAATAATAATCTATTACTCCCATGACTAAAGTTTAGGAAAAGACATAAATTGGATCCTATTAAACAGTGGATTTAACTTTCCCTAAATAACTACTTTTATTCATCCAACTAGGAAAGTCCTGAATCTTTGTTGAAACTCAATAAGAACTGGAGAAAATCAGCTGAAGAAAAAATTCTGCACATGTTCACGAGGGCCTGAAAGGCTGGGCACGCTTCTGCTTGGCAGATGGCCGTTAGTGAATGGGAGGTCTCTTGGCTTGTCCTGAAGGGTGAGTCACTCCACGGGCAGGCAAAGCACTCACTTTCTTTATCTGTTCCACCCCCAGAGGGCTTCTCTGGGGTTTCTGCTCAGGGTACTGTTTTTCTTTTCATCCCTCGTCTCACTGCTTAGATTGGATCTTTCCTTCTAAGAGGTAAAATTGGTGTTTGCGTCAGTAATTCACATGACATTTTGAGGACGCACTGAAGCTACAATGAATTTCCTGCTGCTCTGTGGACAAATGGAGTTGATAAGGATTAAGACTATTTTTGGGAACTAAAAACTTTTGTCATTATTTTTAATTATTAAGAAATAGCCCTGCCAGTGTGGTTCAGTGGCTGAGTGTTGACCCATGCACCAAGAGGTCTCCATTTGATTCCTGGTCAGGACACATGCCCAGGTTTTGGGCCCGATCCCCAGTGTGGGCATGCAGGAGGCAGCCAATTGATGTTCCTGTTCATCAGTATTTCTATCTCTTCCCCTTCTCCTTCCTCTCTCTCTAAAATAAAAAAAAAGAAAGAAACAGAATGTTATTTAAAAAATTAAAACACACAAGATTTTTCCTTCTAGAAACCACCTTACTCTTTAGCCTCTTTCTTTTTTGAGATATATTAGAACCTTCCAAAGATTTCATCTTGATGAACTAAAACAACCTTAAGATCCTATCCATGGCATCTTTTTTAGCTTTGGCAAATAATTCTATTTAAAATAGAAAAACATTATAAATAGCATTAATATATTTGAGCCAAACACACAATAAGTGGCATACATTTAGCTAACATCTTATAATTAGTACATATCAATTTCAAGTGAAAAGGCAACCATTTTCATCAACCACCCTCTCACATCCCCTGATTTTCTTTTACCCTCTGCCCAAATATATTGGAGTGCCAACTGTGGAAACGAAAACTGTGGCCAGTTTAAAATCACAACATGTATTATTACCTTGGGAGTAAGTATGAGAATGAGTTGGGCACAGGCATCTAGGGAAAAGAAAAAAATAAAAGTAAAGTGAAACTAGAAAACCAAAAGGCAAGAAGTCTTAAAGTAACTCATTCTGCTGTCTGAGTCTTAAGATGTGCTAGCAAAGTAGTAGCTCTTGGCAAACATTGTACATAGAAAGAACCAGAAATCACCATGGACAAAAAGTGGACTCAGAGTCTTTCCAGGGTTGTAAGTTAGTTCTTTCATGAATTTTTCAAACAGTACTTAATAAACCCCTGCGGGAGCCGAGATGAACACTCTGGGACACAAGGAAGTTGAAAGATGGAGTCCCTGGCCTGGGTGAGGTCCCAGCTCTTACCAGGTTAGAAGCTTTGACCAAACTGACCCAAGGGTAACTACTTGCTCACCTCATTCCCCTTTCCCTGTGTTTCCCATTGTCCCAGTGTTTAATTTTCATTCAAACAGGTTCTGGGCCTGTTTCTCTGGCCTCCCTGGGGACCACCTTGAACCCACATCCTGTCTCTGCCAAGCTTCAGGGACCAGCTACCACTCAAAAGGCTCCCTGTGCTCATCCACTCCCTGCCTAAATTACACTCCCTCTACCCTTGCCTGCCGTAGTATCCCTTTCCTGTCCTAGTTCTTGGACAGTCCCTTCTCTGGTTTCATTTTGTCCTGCTCACTATGAGCATGGCTGAGAAAGGGTTTTGTTTCTATTTATTGCCTAGGGGACCTTGTCATAGGGAGATCCCTTATAGATACATGAGTGTATAACACTCCCCCCCATTCAAATGTGGAATGAAAACATCTGAGGGGTAAGAAGGAGAGAGAAGGAAAAGGGTTGTTGAACTCAGTGGTAGTCAAGATCTCAAAACCTGAGAATTTCGAAGTCAAAACCTCCTGAGAAGCGAGTGTGAGCACTACGTGAGTCAAGGCTGCCATCTCGTGGGCGCTGCTGAGCATGCCAAGTGCGAAGGGTTCTCAAGAGCATCCCAGCCGGTCTGATCTAGCCACAGACTCCTGAAGGAGAAATGAAAGTAGGCAAGGCCAAGGTGGGCTTTACGCCCTCCAAGGACAAGAAAAGAGAGGCAAAGGGAAGGGGGAAAAATCAAACTCAAAGTTTTCTAATGCCCAGGATTGTTGGAATACATGTTTCCTTCCCGACCCCCACCTGCCTTCTCTTTTTATTTATATTTTTCAGGCTCTGAGGCTACCTCAGTTCATTATTTCTATTTTTTATTTGTGCTTTGAATCCCATCCCCTCTTGCCTTCTCGGGACCTCCATCTGTCCTGTATTTCCTAGTCTTCCCCCTCATTTGATCCTTGTTATATCATGTTTAAGAGTTTCATGCTTAGAACTTAACCAAGTCTTGTCCCATCCTCTAGCTCAGTCTCTGGTTCTCCACACCTGATCTACATCTGCTGAAATCTGGCTGCTGTCTTCACAAGTCCCAGCTTTCCTGCTGTATCCTCTCTTCTCAGACCTCCTTGCTTTCATAGCATTGAATACTATGGGCCATCCCTCCCTGGGTGGCTGAAATGCTCTTCCTGGCTGCTCACCACAAATTATTCTCCCTCTGGCTTCTTTTCCATTCTGCCAATTACTTAAATGTTGGCTTCTATTCAGGGCTCACCCCTCACCCTTTATAGTCAACTACACATCAAGGGCCCAAATATTTCTCTACCCAAATCCATCCACTGCTGTGGGGCCCTCTGCCACTCTCTGGTTCTGGTGTCATCTCTCTGGATTACTATGTTGCTCCTAACAGGCTTCTCTTTGCTCCACCTTTGCCATACTATGGTCAGGGGCATATTTCCAATGATGTCATTCTCCTGTTAAAAGTACTTTGATGACTTGTCAATGCTCTTAGGATGCTGCCCCCACCTCTCGCCTTCCCTTTAGCTGACTATATCTTCTCTCTCCTATTTCTCTCCTTCTATTCTCTCTGGAACCTCCTCCAATAAATGGGCCTTTGCCCCATGACTCCACTGACAAGGTCACTAATGCCCTCACCTTGCTCATACACCAGACTCCACTGACAAGGTCACTAATGCCCTCACCTTGCTCATACACCACTCACTTCTCAGTTCAGTCCTCATCTTACCTGACCCGTCAACAGCATCCTCCAGTTCATTCCCGCCTCCCTGGAAACACTTCCTTCCCTTGGCTTACAGGACACCATTTTCCAGTTTTCTTTCTACTATATTGGCTGCTTGCTACTGGCCTAATATTTTTCACGCTCTTGGGTCTGAATGCTGGAGGGTCCTAAGGTTCAGCCTGTGGACCCTTCTCTTTTCTTTCCACACTTACTCCTGAGTGATCTTACCTGGTCTCATGGCCTTGAATACCTTCTATGCTGATGACTTCCTCATTATCTTCTGGTTTAGACCTCTCATCTGAACTCCATTCAACTGCACTTGAATGGCTTTTATTTATTTATTTATTTTTATTTATTTTTATCCTCACCCGAGGACATTTTTCCATTTTTTGTTCAGGTAGAGTGGGAGGGACAGAGAGGAACAGAGAGAGAGAGAGAGAGAAACATCGATGTGAAAGGAACACATCGAGTGGCTGCCACCCGCACAACCGACCAGGGCCGGGGACAAACTGCAACCGAGGTACGCGCCCTTAACGGGAACCGAACCCGGGTCTCTCAGGACCGCAGGCCGACGCTCTAACTGCTGAGCCAAACCGGCCAGGGCTTGAATGTCTTTTAGACATCTCACCATTTTCCTGCCTAAGATTTAGCTCCTGTTCTTCCCTCAAAGCCTCCTTCCCAATCTTAGTTTAATGGCAACTTTACCTTTGCAGTTGTTCAGGTAAAACAATCTTGGGGTCATCCCTGACCCCACCTGGCCCCCAATATTTCTGACCTTATCTCCCCCCTCATGCACTCTGCTCCAGTCACCATTTTCTGACACCACACCAGATATGCTCCACCTCCAGGTACTTTCCCAGAGAGCCACATGGTTTACTCCTTCCCTCCACCGGTCTTTCTGCAAGTTAATTCGCAGTGAGTGTGATCAGCTGAGCCTGTGAAGATATACGGGATCCGAATCCCTGGAACCTATGAATGCTACTTTATAAAGCATATCTACTGGTGTGATTAAATTAAGGATTCTGAGATGGAAAGATTATTCTTGATTATCTGACTGGGCCCTATATGTAATCACAAGCATCTTTATAGAAGAACCAGAGGGAGATTTGATACAGAAGGCAATGTGTGTCCTGGCTGGTATGGCTCAGTTGGTTGAGTGTTATCCCATAGCACTGAAAGGCTGTTGGTTTGCTTTCTAGTCAGGGCACATACCCAGGTTTTGGGCTTGATCCCCATACAGTAGCAGTATGGGAAGCAACTTATTGATGTGTTTCTCTCTCTCTCCCTTTCTCTCTAAAATCAACAAAAAGCATATTAAAAAAAAAAAAAAAAAAAAGAAGCAAGCAATGTAACCACTGGAGTAAGATGTTACATTGCTGGCTGTGAGGATGGAGGAAGGGGCCACAAGCAGAGGAATGTAAGGAGTGTGGCCCTAGAAACTCAAGAGTTAGACAATGGATTCTCCCCTAGAGCCTCTGAATGGGAGCGTGGCCTTCATTTTGGCTCAGTAAAACTGATTGTAGATTTCACAAACCCTAGAATTATAAGAGAATAAATGTGTGTTGTTTTAAGCCACCAAATTCATGATAATGTGTTACAGCAGTGATAGAAACTAATAGTGAGGCCTTCTCTGACCATCTTCGCTAAAATTGCATCCCCTCCTCCAACAACCAATTCCCCTTTATCTTGCTCATCAACATCTAATGTATTCTAAACTTACTACTTTATTGTCTGTTCCACCTGCCCCATGCACACACTTAACCAGGGATGTCAGGCTGTTTTGTTCCCTGCTGAACGGCAAGGATGAGAACACTGTGAATCTGCACTGAATGTGACTTCTTTCCCTCCCAGGCTTTCTCCCTTCTCTTTGGCCATGACTCCAATCTTTTAATGCTGGTTCCTTTTCCTCCATTCAAAGTACAAATCATTTGCAAATACAGATGCCTAAGGAGGCCAGCAAGTAGTGTGAATGAGAGGCCAGGGCAGCTGGCTGTCGAAGCAGCTGCTGTGTAGAGTGAATGGCCGGCTGTGCTGGGTTTCTCAGGAAGCTGGAGAGCACCCCCTGTCCAAAGGAGGTGGCCACCACTCCACCTCAGTCCAGCAGACTTCCCCCAGATGTGGGGCTCATCATGCCATTTCCCAATTTTCCAAAATTTTATTTGAAATCTCCCACTTTGAAATGCTTACCCTATTAAAG